TTGGACAATTTTCAGATATTGTTTCTATGAGCAGCTTATATTTAATAAAAAATTTTTTGTTTGCAGATTTGATACTTGAATGAGTCAATGCCACTAATGTCAGACATTTTAAATTTTGACCATTAATCCTTATAATTTTAATCAAGATATCTAGACGAGGAGTATAAGTTGAAAACAGCAATTCCTCTAATTTAGGAAAATATATGTCAGCCAAGTCCAGTGAATATTTATGTCCAAAAGATTTCCAATTATTAAATTTTAAAACTTTCAAGTTTTCACAATATTTCAAAACGTCTAAACTTCCATCATTATCTCTATCAACATCTTCACTATTTTTAAACTCTAAGCATTTGATTGTTTTTAAAAATCCATAGTTACTATCATCATTGTCATTGTTGTTGCTGTCATTATTGTAGTAGTTCTCATTATAAACATCAGTATAAATATAAACGTCATTATTATAAGTGTCGTTGTTCTCTTCTTCATTGTTACCAGAGTCTAACAAATGATTTGGCCAGCGATTGATGATGATCAATTCAATCAAACATGTTTGTGAAATCAAAAGTTTATTTGATGATGCATCATTTCCCCATGAACAATCAATAGTTAACTTGCTCAAAGTTGTGCAAAACTCTGATATTATCGGTAAATTGAATGTTATACAATCATCACATTCCAAATGTCTTAAATTTTTTAAAGATGATAATGATGGTGTTGTTATTGTTGTTGACAATGATGATGATGGCGGTGGTGAAGATGATGTTGTTGTTGTTGGAGTTGGAGTTGGAGTTGCTGATGGCGAGTATTTTGATAAATCAATAAAATCACCATATCTGTGTGTTATGACTTTTATTGATAATGTTGTCAGAGTTGTTTTTTCTAATAATAAATCAAACAATAATTCCAAGATTTTTATTTTTGGATTAAATAACAAAGAATCACCACCATCGTAAAAATATTCACCAGACTCTTTTTTACATTCTTCAAAATCATCATCATCTTCTTGTTTAAATACACTGCGTATACGATAAAGATCACACCAAGCATGTACTGCATCGTGCAATAAAGAGTAGTTTAATACTTTCAAATAATTGGTATAATTAAATATAGGTGGTGGTTTATCGATTTCTAATTTTTCCATTGGATATATTTTTTTCAAAAATGATTTATGTGAAGAACTCAAAGAATTCATATAAGTTGAAATAATTTGTGTATTTGAAGAATAAGGATTAAATGGGTCAGTCCATAGGAATGGTACTGTTAACTTACACCAAGAACGACTTACAAGCATACAAGAGTGTAATGAGTAGGGGTCATTTTTCAGGCAGGATACAATAGGCAAGATGATTTCGGGAAGTAGAAAAATTGATGAAGCCATTTTTCCTTGAAAATTTTTGTTGATCAATTCTTATTATATATAAAACACCAAAACATTAATATTAATATTAATGCAATAATAAAATTTTTTTGTCAGTGTTTTTTAATCAATAATTGAACTTATTATTGTTTGTTATAATTGACAAAATGATATTAATTAACAATCGAAAATTGATTGTAAACAAATTATTTGTTTTTTTTTGTTCTTTTCTAGATTAGTGATGGCAAAGATTACACTTTCAAAAGAGTATAATTGCTTGCCAAAATTTGATTTTTTCAAAAACAATCACAGCTAACATCTATAATTTGGATATTAGTATTAATGAAGGGGAAACATTAAATTGAGAAATTAAATTATTATCAAGCCAGCTTGAACTGGTTCATGTAAAGTTTTAGGCAATTCTATATATCACTTAAGAAACAAATGTGAGATAACTAAATTTTGATCCCTGAAATCGTTGGTAATACCAATGTTCACCTTGTCTGGTTTTGTTACAGCATGCCCCATATTATATATATGTTTTTTACAAAAACACCTAATGTTTTCGATCACAACCTCCTGAGAAGGAATGCTTATGGACAAGTATAGCTTTTCTAGTTATTATTAAAAAAAATGGTGGTAAATACAATAATTAAGAAGCAGTAATAAATGAACCAAACAAGCAAGAGAAATATCACATGTTCAAAAACTGATTATCTTATTGCCTGATCCACACAATGAAGAAATGAACATGCTTAAAGCTTTTGTGGAATTGAACTAATATGTTATAAAGAAATACTTTGATTTTTTACTTATTCCATTATCTTCTTGACCCAATTAATTTGGAGCAGAATTGTCAGCTTGCCTTAAATCTAACAAACTAGAATCTGTCGAACCAGTAGAATTTCCTCAAGAACTTCTCCTAGTAAGGTAGTCAATCAATCATCACGTCATTTAAGTCTGGTAGATTCGTACCCAACCCTTTTCTTTTTCATGGGGTGGTTTTGAATAGACTCACCTAGATTTAATCCCATTGAATCTACTTAATCAGCCACCACAAAAGTATTGGTGAAGTCGGGGGATCATTGACAACAATCTTATTACGTATCACAGAAATGGCAAATTTTTTTACCCTATGCAAAGTTTGCACACTTAAAACACACTTATTATACCACTAAAACACAATTTAAGTAGAATTTAATTAATGTTTTGAGCATGAAATAAATATGTTTTAAACATATTTCAAGTGTAATTTAAGCACATTTTGACTATCATGGGGAGACACTTAAAACATTCTCGTTTCTTGTAAATTTAAGTAGAAAATAAGCATGATTTTCTACTTATTTTCCATTTATTTTCTACTTATTTATTTCATACTTGAACTGTACTTAAATTACACTTAAACTACACTTGATTTATTCTTAAAATAATATATAGAAAATGATAAAGTAATAACTAATTTTTTTCTTTAATTGTTGCGTGAAACTCACTGCATTATGCTTCGATGATCATGTGTAACTAATAGTAAATCCCATTTGAAAGAAAAGAAATATTAATACAATGTTATATATTTAATAAGAATTATTATCAATAATATATTATTACTTACCATAACCATAATAGTGAACCTCGTTAATACAATTATTATTTATTATTACCTTGATGGTCGCGTGAATAATAATAACAATAAACCATAAACCCGTTAATACTTACCTTGACGGTCGCGTGCATAATAATAAACCCGTTAATACAATATTATGTATACAATAGATTAATTATAATAATAATATTATTAGTAATATATTATTACTTACTATCCACCATTATACTTTGAACAATAATCCAATCCCATTGTTTAATTGGTAGATCTGTTTTTTTGAAAAAAAAACAAACGTTAATATGATGTTATATACAATAAGTTATTAGTAGTAACAATATCCATTATCTGCTACTGTTAACTATGTTATGCTTCCTCATTATCTGTTTTTTGAAGTTACATTTCTTTTAGTTAATGAATAGATGAATGAATGAGTGAACGAAATAAAATAAACCAACATTTCTAATTTATTACTCAAAGATCCATACGTTGTTTGTTAATAAGTCAACTGTTATTATATACTGTCTTTTGATTAGCTCCTATTTTTTAACGATATATACCAGAATTTCAAGATGTAATTTTCATTTTACGTAAACAAAAAAATATTAATATTGGTTTGTGTGATGTATCCTGGGAAATCTTCAAAAAATATCGGACCAAAAAATTTCTCTAACATCAACAATATTAATAACATTAAATAATAATAAAATAATTTCCTTCGTAGTCTTTTTATATAGTAATGATAGTAATAAATAGTAATAATTTTGACATTTCTTAAGTTATAATATATTATTAGCAGTAATATTATAAATATAAATTATTATTATCTTGTTAAAGGAAATAAGACTTATTTATAATTTTACAAATAGTTAAAATCCCTTAACAATAATATTAATATTAATATAGAATTTATTGCATCAAGCTGTGAATTAATATTTTATAAAACGAATAAACGAATAAAACGAATAAAACGAATAATTAGAACAAAACGAACAAAACGAATAAAACCAAATAACCGAATAAAACGAATAAAATGATAAAATGAATAAAAACGAATAAACGAATAAAAACGAATAAACGAATAAAACGAATAATTCCAATAAAACGCATAATCCGAATAAAATGAATAAAAACGAATAATTCGAATAAACGAATAAAATGAATAAAACGAATAATTCGAATAAACGAATAATTCGAATAATTCGAATAATTCGAATAAAACGAATAAAACGAATAATTCGAATAAATGAATAAACGAATAAAACAAATAAAACGAATAAAACAAATAAACGAATAAAACAAATAAATGATTAAAACGAATAAACGAATAAAACAAATAAACTAAAATGAATAATTCAGATAAAGAATTTGTATTAATATTAATATTAAAAATGTGTAGTTGGAAAATGGCCATTCCAAAAATTTTATTGGACATTTTAAATTTTATCAGTGCCTGAATTTTATAATAGGATTTTGCTCCTGGTCTTCATCACCACCTTGTTTGATGCTAATACCCTTGTTGTGTAATTAATCAAATAAATCATTGGTTATTTACTCATTTATCAGTCAGAAGTGAAATTGGATTGGGTCAGTTCTTTGGATGTAAAAAGAATAATTTTATTATTTGTATTTCAAATTCAAGTATGTTTTAAGTAAATTACAAAATCAAGAAAATAAGTATGTTTTAAGAATTATTAAAATCCAGAGGTATATTTTTAAGTGTATAATTAGGATATCTACATTCCTATTATTGTAAAAAATAAGAATGTTTTAATTGTAAAATAAGTATATTCATACATATTTTGCAAATAATTAGTGAATCATCTTTTTTGATTCAAGTATGTTTTGACTTATGTTTTAAGTATGTTTTGTAAAAATTAAGTAGGAAATAAGTATCTAAACTTTTTGTAGGGTTAGTAGTCAAGGAAGGATAAGTAAAGAAGGTAAATTATGTGATAAACATAATAATAATTAGTAAGAGTTCTAATTTTAACCCCATGTTCAATTGATAATCATTGACTATTTTGAATTTATTTATCTTTAAGCATGATTCCTTACCAAAAAAAAAAAATTTCAAAACGACCACGAGAATTATTTGATAGATCAAACCTATTGTTTAGACTTGTATTTGAAGGAGAAGATGTTTTTATTCCTAAAGCGTTGCAAAAAAAAGCATTCGCTGATACACTTGTAAAAAGACTGGGAGTAGTGGCAGTAAATTTTGAAGTGACTGGAGACAACTTTATCAAATGTGCGCGGAAAATCGAAGAATTATCAAAAAGTGACAACCCCCCAAAAAATTTGATATACAGAGCAAGGAAAACGGTGAATTATTTATACGATCATTTTGAAGAGCTTTGGCTAGCAGACAGTCAATGGGAAACATTATCATCAATCGATTTTATACCTTGTGAACCTCCGAGAGCACCTTATGATTGTGTAATATATGAACAAAAACCATTCTATTCGTTTAAGGCACTTCATTTACCAATCTACAAAAACCTCATTTGGACACAGGCACCTATATACTCGTACAATGTCATGCCAAACCATTCCTTTCTAACTAAATTCACATCACTCAGAAACATTGAATTTCATATGGTATTAGATCATCTATATGGAATAATTGACACTATTGTCAAAGCTAATTTGGCATCGTGGAAATCGACCAAAGCAACAAGAAAATTAAAAAAGATTATTTCTGAAATCTACGAGTATTTGGATAAGATGAACTATCGTGAATATTTAAGTAAAAGATTAAAAGAAAATCCATATATATTTTTGAATGGGGCTGATCCTTTTATACAGGAAGATTGGATGTGTGCAATGACATTTACTTTAATGTACGTGGTAAGAAGATAGGAGCCAATCGTTACAAGCTGGCAGCTTCTTCAAATTATTTTGAGGTGATGTTTCTTGCAGGCACTAAAGAATCGAATCCTGATGAAGTTATTCATGTGGAAGTGGATGATATAGATCCTAATTCATTTCTAGTGCTTCTTGAATGGTTATATGGTAAATCACTATCTGAAGCTGTGACCTTTGTAATGACAACTGAAAAGAATAATAAAGATGGTAAAAAAAATAGTAAACGCAACAACAACAACAACAACGACAACAATAATAATATGTCTGATAAAAATTCAACATCAAATCTATTAAAATTATACATTGATCTGCTTAATTGTTCAGAAAAATATTTAATCAAAGAGCTTAAATGTGAAGTTGAATATAAGATTGTAAACGATGGGCTTGTACTGCCACAGAATGTGATCGAATTGAAAGAATGGGCAAAGATGTTTTCAGCTGGACAGCTTTATGATTATTGTAACCAATTTGTAATAGTAAATTGTGAGTTACTGTATGAACAAAGACAAGCTGAACTAATTGAAGTAGTAGAAGAAGAAGAGCGTATGGAGGAAATTGAATTTTTGGAAGAAGAATTAGGCAATATGGTTCGTTATATACGTAAAACTAAAGAACCAATGAGTATGGATATCTTTGGTGCATGGGGACCTCCTGGTAGTTAAATTATTAATTGAAAAAAAAAAATATTTGAAATCACATATCTATCTACTTTACAACAATAATGTCATCATTTAAATAATTATAAATATATAAAAATATTTATAAACATAATATATTTATTTATAATATTATATTTATTACAAGGATAATAGATTAGAAAAGCTTATGGCAATAATTAATGACAATTTGTATATTTAAAATTGTGACAAACATGATATATGTGTATACTGTACAAATCTTTCTTGCCTGACTTTTTCTCTTCAACTTTTAAAAGTTATATTTTATAGTCATTATCAGTTCTTTTGCCCAAATTACAACTGTTTATTTAAAATCAATTATTAAAAAAAAAAAAACAATTTGAATCCGTGTAACAGATATAGATTATCCATTAAAAAAAAATTTTTTTTTAATTATTATTATTTGCTTTCACTTCATTTATTTAAAATTAAAAAAAATAAAAAAATGGTATATATATATGTGTACAGTATATAATGATATTGATAATATACTTTCATAATTTAACAATGAATCGAATTTTTTTTTATTTAAATGTAATAATTATGAAAAATTAAATTAATTGGAATGAAAAGGCAGATGACAACGATGCAAATGTTGAACAAAAAAAGAAAAGAATCTTTAAAAAATTTTCATATCGTGGCGTTGATTTGGATCAATTGTTGGATCTGTCTTCTGAACAAGTAAATCTCACTCAATATTTATAACTAAAGATTTTAATTCAGTTACATTAAAAAAATATATATATATAAATCTTTTTTTTTTTACAAGTTAATGGACTTGGTTCACGCAAGAGCAAGAAGAAGATTTCAACGTGGTTTAAAACGCAAACCAATGGGATTAATAAAGAAATTACGTAAAGCAAAAAAAGAGGCACCACCAGATGATAAACCTAATGTTGTAAAAACTCATTTACGTGATATGATTATTGTGCCTGAAATGATTGGATCTATCATTGGTGTTTATAACGGGAAAACGTTCAATCAAGTTGAAATTAAGGTAATGAGAGTGGATGGGTAACTTGGAAGAAGAGAAAGAAGAGGACAATGGGCAGTTATTATGTTTGATGAATTTCTTATTAACTATATTTTGTATCATATGAATATTTAGCCGGAAATGATTGGGCATTATCTTGGTGAATTTTCAGTCACTTATAAACCTGTTAAACATGGTCGTCCTGGTAAGTGTTTACAGAGTATGATTGAATTTGTCATTTTCATAATCAATAATATTGACAATTTTTTTCTAGGTATTGGCGCAACCCATTCTTCAAGATTTATTCCTTTAAAATAAAATTTAAAATATATTTTTTTCAAAATTTTTTATTGTTTTTTTTTTAAAAAAAATATATTACCTAAGTATGTAATTATTTATTATATAGGTAAATTGATATTAATAATAAAAATGATATAAAGCCAATCAATGATATATAATTTATTATTATTATTCTATGCAGCAACAATAATGTTATCTAATAATAATTTATTATTATGTCAACAATTCACCAGATGCAATCTCGTATATTATTTTTTCCTGAAATATGGCAATAATGATTGATTAAACAATAAAGGTGCTTGCCTACTAATGTGTTCAATGAAGCTAATGTAAAAACACCACAATCATAAGAATTTTTTTGTTGTGGAACTTTCTAATTATATATATTAGTAATGAAATAGTGATTTATTAGTGACTAATGGAATAAATTTTCGAATAAATAAAATATACAATGTTACATACCTTCAATCTTGGATTTTCTGCCCAACTGTTGAAATCAAGATTTGCATTTTCACCTTTCTTATTTGACATTCATTATTTAAATATTCTTTTACTTCCTTAAAATATATAGGGAATATATATATGTCAGTCGAAGTATATAAAGATTAATTAAAAAAAAACAAAATAATGTAAGCATTCTTTTTTATGTGTACATTGATTACGTCCATGCCTTTTGCTGTCCCCCACCATACATCGAATCAATATAATCTATCCTAAAAGCTTGAAAATCAACAAGACATAAAGACCAATGTGCTCCGTTATGTATTGGTACAAATAATAAATCTTTTGAAAAGATATCGACCTAATAAAAAAAAATATTTATTTAGATATACAACACACATATACACGCACATATATATAATCACTTGTAAACCATCTTACTAAATATTTTGTTTTAACCCTAATTCCATTCAACTACTAGCTACCAACTAACAGACTCACCTTTTTCGTCCATTTAGAAACTCCTTGGTAGCCACTATTTAAATATTTGGTCATGAATTGTGTACTATATACAAATACTGATGGCAAATTATCATTATTTGTGCTTCTTTCAACTACTAGTTTACCGTAAAAATTTATAACCTAAAAATTTAAACATTTGCATGTGAGAAATCACTCTACTACTGCTGCTGCTGATAATAATAATAATGGTGATGATATTTACCAATGCTAACAGTAATACCAGATTTAACAAGTCTTTCAATATTATCCAATACTCCTTCGACTTCAGGCGCAACAGTTATAAGTTTAATAGAATTTCTAATATTTTCTGATCCATAAGTGTTTTTCAAGGTCTGAAAAACCATTTGATAAAACTTTAAATTTATATTTTTCATGCACACCACATTTTTCTGGTGTTATAAAAGGCCCTTCAACGTGAGATCCTATTCATAAGAATGTAAAAATAATGATTTTTTTTAATGGTTTATATAATAATAACTTGTAGCTAAATATTAAATATCTACCCAAAATCTCTGCTCCATTCTTTAAATTTCCTTTTCGAGGTCTAATCAATGGTAACATCTATTTAATTTGTAACAACTTCATTATATAATGAATGATTAAAAAAATCCAAATAATTTATAAATTTACATTTTTATAGACATGGTCTTCAGAACTAATGAGTGTTGGAATAAAACTAGTACATCCAGTTCTCAATAAACCTTTTGAAACTTTAGTTAAATCAGCCTTTATCTTCTGTTCATCAAAATCAGCAGATGTTTGTGAAAAATCAACGCCAAATGCACCATTGATTTGTATGTCAATGAATCCTGGGACTACAAATAATCCTTTTGCATCAATCACCAAGTCTGGAGATGATTCTTTGGTGAAAAAATGATTTTGTGGGTCGATTATTAAACCATTTTGAATGAATAAAACATCATTTTCAATGATTTTATGATTATGAATTAATCGTGCGTTAATAATTTTTTTTAATAAAGAAGATGACGATGTTTGATTATCTAATGTTCTGTCTGGCATGTTTAAAAAGCAGTAATAATATTATTGAATAAAAAATTTATTCTAAGAAAAAAAATACCAATGACTAATATATGACGTATTTGTATATGAACAATAAATACACGCGACTTTTTTGTCAATCGTTTATTATTATCTCATTATGCATGAGTTTCCAAATCGATCGATCAAGATTTTCAAAATTTGGATTAGATCAAAACTGGTATATATATATACTAGTATCAATTCTACTTGTGATGCTATAATTAGATTACACAATTATTATCTTGGACAAATATTATTACTTGTGGTCAGTGGGGATTATAATTATCCCCGTGGCTGATTACACGATTTTGGCCACATTTGAGAGTCATATTCACCATCTTGGGTCTAGAACATGTGGCCTATTTCGTTTTTTTTTGGCCACATTTCTGGGTTAATTATAGTCCAGAGTTGCGACTATAAACATCCCCACTACTTATATATTAGTGTAGTCAATTACGCGATTCTGGTCACATTTGAGAGTCATGTGGCTTATTTTGTTTTTCTTTGACACATGTCTGGGCTAATTGTAGTCCAGGCACAGAAGTTGTGGACTATAATTAACCCCATTTTACTTATATACTAGTGTGGCCAATTTTTAATTTCTGACCATGTTGGGCGGTAAAATATGTATTTATACCCCATGTTCAGCTTCCAGAATTTCAGACCCTGATGACCATTTTGTTTGGGGGATTTAATTGATATGTGTACATCCAAACAAAGTTATACATGTAATTTGATTTATGAAGCAATTCAGGCAACAGCTTCATGTGTTCAAACATCCTCAAGATTGTGGTTACTTAAAATGGACGATTCAGATAGTGGTCTTTTCTTTGGCATGGCATCCTAAACTTGATCTTGCTGAGTATGAAATTAGTATAACTGAATATGAAGGGAAATCAATAAAATTAATACCATTGTTAAATCAGGCAGTTACTAAATGCCTAATTTTATATCATAATATTGATTTTCTGCCATACCCACCAAATACTAAATTCTTTAATCTATTTCTAGGATTCAAAACCAAACATCTAAAGATTAATTATGATTTCATAAATCCAATTATCTGGCATATAGAAAACGTCTGGTGAGGACAAAGTACTTTCTGAATTGGTTAGCTTATCTTATCCAATTTCCAGAAAAAAACTGGTACTGTTTTAATATCATGATCTCCTTGTTCTGGAAAAAATATCAGATCTTGGAAAAATATTAGGAAGATTTAATAGATATATTCAAAAGTTAATCACTTGCCAAAAAATTTCACTGACCCAAGGTCAGTAAAAATTCTCAATCATATTCACATGACATCATTATGATTATATATGTGAAATTGAGCTACCAGGGCTAGCTTTATTAATGTGGTAAAAATAAAAATAAATTTTCAGATATTAATAAAAAATATAAAAAATGGATCAATCTGGACAATGTATGGGACATCCAATACATGAAGGTAATAGTCCCACATCATAGTAAAAAAGTGCCAGTTGGTACCATTAAAGGAATTTCTAATTATTTTACTTTCATGTGGCCATCTGGTGACAAAGATGGATATATATAGCAGCATATGAATACCAAATTTTTGGGAAATCAAAAAATATTCAATTTTTGATATTAAAAACTTCTGAAAAAAATAATAATATTAATCAACCAACACCTCAATCAGAATGGAAAACATCTGTTCCTTCAGAAGTTGACCCATTAATTCAAAAATTGTCTGTTCCTGAAGTAAGGTTGAAGCTTCAAGAGAAAAATTTGTATTTCACTAGAAATAAATTATACAGTTATCTCGTTTCAGACAATAATTTTCTGTTGTTAAATAATATGAATTTGAAAAACCTCTTGGATGAAAAATTGGAACCTGTATTTGCTCTAAAGAGTATGGGAAGAAAGGTGGTAAGAAGTTTGATTTAAATGCGATCAAACAATTAAAAATCATGTTTTTAGCTGGTAATATAGAAAAAAGGAAAAAATACTCTCTCGAGGATATGTTAAAAGAACTTCAAAGACTTGTTGAAACTGACGAAATAGAAGCTGAAAATAATCCTTCTCCTCAACATCACAAAAGACAGGCGGTTGAAAATACATCATCTAATTAATAAGTAAAAAAAAATTTCTTTATTTGTTATTTTTGAAAACAATAAATCGTATGTTTTTAATAACTACCACCGTTACACGGAACATGTAAAAATTTTTACTAAAAAATCTACAGGTGCTAAAGAGTAAACTTTTTTTTTTTACTTAAGTAAAGACAAAAAAGAAACTGATAATATGTTCTTTGGGATTTGTTTGTGGACGTAAAAAAAAATTATGTTATACTAAAATTCTTCCAGACTGAATTAATTTGACCAATATCTGATGATATTAATGATCCAACAACAAACCAACTTCCTCAGATAGTTGCTGCCCTCAACCTAAATGATACAATACCTATTCAAGAATATTTGAATAATCCAGAAGAAAAAACTGTATTGATGGTTTCGATGAAGATGATAGTGCTGAGCAAGTATTGATAAGTACTAGTGAAGCTTTAAAAGACTTGGAAATTGTCCGCACATTTTTATTACAACAAGAAAATTCTAGTCAACAAATAAAACTGATTAATTCTCTTGATAGATATATTAGTTTGAAAACAATAAATACAATGAGGCAAACTACAATATAATCTTATCTTAACCAATAATTATATAAAAATTTTTTTTAGTGATAATATTATAGTTATAATTAATTAATAAATTTTTATTTTTACGACTGTTTTTTTTTTAAAAAATTCGTGTAAAAATTTTTATTCTTTATTGGTGTCATGTGCAACCAATGAAATGCTTTGTTTCTCTGAGTACACGCTATCGCTAATTCCCGAGGGGGGTGCACTTAGAGGGAGTTGACTGTAATGATAAATAATTAATATGTACGTGTTTGTCAATCAAACAACAATTCTTTTTTCTCTTCGAAAAAATGTATAGACAAAGCAAAAGTAAAAATAATACATCCGGAGAGATTGTCAGGTAGTGTTTATTAAAAGAATGATGGTTATTGCCACTTGTCATCACTCTAGTTAATATTAATATAAAAAATAATGATAACTCAAGTTGAATTTTTTGCATGTAAAACCTTACATCCAACCAATTAATTAATTAATAAAAAGAACATGTAAAAACAGAGTTCTACTTAAGAATTTCGAATCATATGCAAATTTCTAAAAAAAATTAATTGTGTATATTTTCCCATATGTATTCTAGTATATAGGTTCTTTTTCATAAGTTGAAAATTTTCCGTAAATGAAATCTTTTAAAAGCTAAGACAATTTACGTTATTTTATTTTTACTATTTTATTTTTTATTTTTTCTTTTTGAGTTTACTCGATTCCTCTAAGAGAGAAATTTTCAATTAACTGTTAAGCATTCTAAATGAAATTTCTTTACCTTTACACTTTATTTCTAATAGTTGTTCTTTTATCGACTGCGCAAGCTGTTGCCATAATTGTTAGTAATGATACAGGTAAATTATTAACTATCGACTGCACTTCAGGAGATGACAATATTGGTTTGAAAATTTTACAGAAATTTACAAATGGAGTTTCAATCCTAACATATTTGGCACCACCTTTTTCTATTGTGATTGTTCTCAAGGTGCTATCAAACTACACTTCAATGCTTATTATAATGGACTTAATGGTGATATCATTTCATGGAGCGTAACCCAAATTGACAGAAAACTCGTAGCGAATAAAAAATGAAGTTATGTAGAATTATTTAAAAAGTTTTAGAAATTATATAGCAGAAACTTTTTATTATCTACATAGGCAACCCCGTTAATCCGAAAACCTCGTTAAAATGAATAATTTTTAAAACACCAAAGCCAAACATATGTAAATTACCCCGTTAATATGAATGTCACTAATAAAACTTTATAAACCGTAAACCGAAGAAATTTTGAAGCCATTTACATGTAAAATTGCACCGTTAATCCGAATTTTTATAAACCGAAGTGAAATAATATACAAGTTGTACAAATACATATGTATGTTGTATATGAAATTGAAATCTATAATTAAAATTTTGGGTGGAGCGTTTGGATATGAAATTCTGATTGCTAATTTGAATATGTGAATTGCAAATTCACATAAATTTCATTTTCACGCACAACATGTGCAAAGATTAATAACCAGAGTAGACTTTCCTCTATATAATGCAAACAACAGGAAAAAAAATCTACTGAAAAAGAAGTTGGAGTATCAAAAAGAAAACATGCGCCTATAACAATCTCACAAAAATATAAATATAAAGACCCAAACATAAAAAATAATCAGCTTGCATCTAAATATAATGTCAGTGAATCTACTGTTTCTGAAATTCTAAAAAAGAGTGATTATTTTTTATCATTGAATCCAAATCAATTCACTGCCAGAAAATGGATAAAGGAAATTTTAAATCCTAAATTTTTAAATTTATTACCCCGTTTATCCGAATTAATTTATGACTCTAATAATAACTTCGGATTATAAAAAACCCCGTTAATCCAAATAAAAGTTCCCGCACAATTGCCTTCGGTTTAACGGGGTTGCCTATGTACTACTTTGACCTTTCGTTTTTTTTTTGGTATGACCAGATAGATGACAAGAGGTAGATTTTTTAATAATAATAATAATAATACGAACTACTACTATATTTTCATTTCTCCTATTGCTATATTTGCGAATCAGTGTAACCGAGGGCATTTTTTTCTATTGATGCGAATCTATGGTGAGGTGGTCTCATTTTTTTTTTTAAAGTACTTTCGAATCATAGTGTTGGCGTTCACATCCAATAGGGTTTTCCCGGTCCTATTATAACTCTCCATTGCTGTAAACTACAACCTATATGTCATCCTTTCGTGCAACTTTGATGCCTGTATCTTTGAAAATGGAGAAGGAGTAGCGATTTGAAAACAGCATGATTATTTCCGATCACGATGAAAATTTTCTAAATTAAACAAAGAGTAGTTTT